TACGTTTCGAAGATGGTGATTTTTTTTTTGTAATGGATATAACCTTCAATGAAAAATAAAAACAAAACGTACATTAACTTACTGTGTTTCCAAGGAAGAAAATCTCAGTTACGGTTCTTGAGTCCTTCTTCTGAGATACTTTCGACTGTTTTACGACGCGTGTAAGGACTCCTTTACCTTGTCACAGAGAGAATCAACTGTTTCGTTCAGAGCTTGTCAACAGCTCTTTGAAATTGAGCTCTTACAAAACGGAAGCTTATTTTTTTATGACCCAAGTGACATTCACCGACCCCTGTTGCGTTTTTCCGTTCGTTGGTGTTTGTTCTGCACGCAACCCTTTACACAATCGAGCAGTGTGCTTTTGTAAAGACGTTTGCGTGATTTTACGGACAGACGGCGCTATTCACGATAATGGAAAACCCCTGACTACAACCTAAGTAGATAATTAGTATCTTGGCGATGTAAACTCTTCATTGTGTATATTTTTTTAATTAGTAATTTTGTGCTTGACTGTTTTCAATTAAAACCATGTATTGTTATTTTCACACCAACTGGGCTTAGATCTAAACCTGTAATCTTTCCAGTTTGTCCTGGTGTTCTTTAGAAATGTCTGCCTCTAAATTGCACAGCGCATAATCGATTGCAAAACTTAAATACGCAGCAACAGTTTTGCTTTTCGACCTCGCTGAATTGCCATAACTTTTGGATATCTGTCATTTTTGTACCCGCTTCGGAAACATCAAAAGTTTACAATGTTTGTTACTAGTATTAGGACTGTTTTTCCAATTAGGATCGCATAATTTTGTTTGTTTAAGTTTTAATCCTCTGTGATGGAATCTTAAGTGGTAGACTTTCTCAAACAGGTGTTTGTCTTCTGATCCGGGCGAAAAATGGACACGATCTAGGTTGATTTTTTTTGGAATGAACAACGACCGCTGTGGTACAAAAGAGTTGTCATTATCAATAACTACAAAAGTCTTAGTGCCCTTTTCTTAAACGAGTAACCGCAAAATTTAATTAAAATAGTCGACGTATACTTATATAAATTTTCAGGAAGTATGGAGGAGCATGTGTCAGTCACAAAATGAATAAAAGGTTAAAAGTCTTGTGAGCGATGATGTCATTTCCCTGCCGGAAACACTCCAATTTGCGTTTAAATTCGTAACTATTTTAACTTTATAGTTACCCCTTAAAACTCCTAAGATCTGTTTGTTAATTCTCTCCTCTATCTGCTACACGTTTCTTTAAGAATTAGTTTCATAAATTTGGTGTTAGATCAAGATAACAACTTCTACCTGATACGTTCGAGTATTCTCATTACCTGTTTGCTGGATAGTGGGAGGATATTGTAAGGAGAGGTTACATGTTAATCTCCTATGGGAGTTAAAGGGTTGATTTTATAGTTAATTCAAAGAGCAGTTTTAAATGCATACTTCATACTTTCCGGGCTATGGACTTAGGGAAGTCTGGCAGTTGTTTCTCGTTCCTGTGAGCTTCTTTGATTTGAATCTGGTTTTGAAAAAAGTTCGTAGAGTGAAGTTCTAACCAGATGTATCAAGTACAGGAGTTTTAGATCTTCTCTCGAGTTTTCGAGAATTTCTTATGCTCATTTGCCTGAACTTATCTGAGATAAACTTCAACCCTGAAAAGTATTCACTCAAAATGAACGGGACGGAGGCAAACTTCATAGTGAGAAATAGGAATTGTGTATTCGTGATGAGGCTTGCTCGTTGCTATGGAAGTGTATTTCAAACAATTACACCCTTAATTAGAATTAACAAAACCCGCGGTGGATAGGGCTTACTTGTGAATATGTTGACATGTATTTCTGCATGTTATAATAAAGAGCACAGTCAGTGAACAAGTATGTCAACCTTATAATCAAAAACAAAATATAACGATTTAGTTTTAAGTAACTAAGCTGGAAGTGTAACAGAGTGATTGAGTGGAATACATAGGCGACAATCCACTGGAGCTCAGTTCTATCCGGCAAAAGGTACACCAAGATAATTTAATTCAAATGTGACTTTTTTTTTCTCGCAGTCTCCAACTGAGAAAATAAAACAGAAACAACAAAGGAAAAGATTAGTTGTTACTGTGGGAAATGCGATTGTTTTTGACGTGTAGTCTCTTTGTGCGTTGCTTCTGCTGATTTGTTGAAAGACATGACATATAGGCTGGTAAGAAACTCTGGTGGGGTTGTTTCGTGTGGTTAATCAAGTTGAAACCTACTGTAAGTATTCAGTAAGTAAAAACAGTCACCAGTTTAGTATCAGTTTTATGATTACCTACTGTTTACCATATGTATAGAGTAAACTAAGCTGGGGTGAGAAGACTTAAAACTTGATGAAAAGGTAACATCTTCTAACAAATTTCATTATTATTATCTAATAAAAGGATCAAGAGAATGTATAGTCTTGTTGGGTGGAGGGTGTTGTCTTGATGTTACGACAAATTCTCATTGTTAATCTTTTAAAAAAATGTGTAGCAGTTAAAGGGGAGAATTGTGAATAAGATCATGGTATAAAGCTGACATGTACGTGGAATACAGAAATTCATCAAAAAAGAGAACATTAAAACCCAAACAAACACAAACACGAACACAAAATTCTCATTAGAACTTTGCAAAAGACTGTTTGATAGTCAGCAAGGAGATTTAGCCATCAAGCTCTAGTTTTTCAGGGGTGGATAACGTTATTCACTAGCTAGATCTCTGTTTGGTATGTTTTTTTTTCTTAACTGATCCGCTCAGTTGGTCATGAGCGATTTATCCTTTGGGTGGCGTTATCAGCCTTTTGAAAAACTAGGCCCAGATCTATGGGGAAAAAGGACCGAGTCATTTTTTTCTTTACAGCGAATAATGCAAGCACTAGAGCCACAATTTATCCATGGAATAGTGCGTTTACTCAAAAGAAAAAACATAAGCAGTTGCTTCCATTCCAGTTCTCACCGTGTACAGTTGTCCCCGAATTCTAGAAGAGGAACATGAGATTTCAATTACTCGAACGCTTGTCCAAAAAGTTCCTATTTTTCTCTCTCGTTATGGAGGATAATGATAGTCCACGGGTAGTATAAAACAGTACGAACTGAAATGAAGGAGAAGTTGTGTTTTAATCGCCTGGGAATAAAAGGGTAAAGTCACGAGAGAGAAATGATGACCACGTGTTCCTAGCGTGGAGGCATTCGTCTTTACCTTTTTGCCCTTTGGATCCTGTATTTTTTTTCAAAAACCGCTTTTAGCTTTTGCTGAATCCGTCATTTGTCAATTGCACATGTGGTTCCCCTTTCTGAAATCTGATTTCTTCAGTTTTTTATCATTATTTCGTTCATGGAAGTCGCCTTAGAAACGCCCTTTCTCTTTCGCAATATGCCCTTATAACCAAATTACAAATCAGTTTGATGATACAAGATAGAGAGACGGCCAGAGAGAGAGAGAGAGAGAGAGATCGCTGATTTGTATCAAAAGCCTTGCACAGTCCAAAGTATCACCTTCGTGACTGATGGCGGGTGGAAGGCGACACATCCGTTAATCAAATAGTAATTATAAAGGAAAGCAAAAGAACAAAACGAGAACAAACACAAGAACAAATCCAAAGCACTTCTTTAATTATCTCATCAACTCATCTGTAAAACATGCAGCCTTTTTTATTACAGAGCTTCAGTCAGCCATTGTTAATCATTTGTTGGGGCGTGCCGCGGAAGTACACCAGTAGTTATCACCCGTTGTGTGAGTTTTTATCAATTTCCCGTTACTCGAAGCTTTTTGTCGGCAAAGAGAGAGAGAGAGATTTTATTCGCGAAGTCTACCACGATGTTTTCTTTGTTTCTTTGCAAATTATATCAGAAAAATTCCTACTTATCCACATGTTGTGATCAGTTCTTTGACTTTTGAAGTTACCACAACAACACTACAGCCTCTTAGAAACTCCCTTCATTTTAGCTTTATGTGCTTGCATCTCAAACATCAGTTCCGTTCAATTACTGTCAGTTTTTACAATTAAATTCCAAAGTTTCATCAAAATCTGTGTAAACAATTCAGAGCCACTTTAATCTATGAAACTTTAAGATGGCTTTGAAATTTCAAAAATAGGTTTTCTTAAAAGTTTACAGAAAGGTGAATCTTGATATGTTTACCACATTTCTACGATAGATATAATGGTTTTGGAGTTACAGGCACATCAAAGTGAATTAAGGGTTTTTTTAAGATCATGTCGTTGTCGTTGGCAATCCATCAACAACGGCCGGGAAGAGGGCTACTGGGTAGTGTTCAGTCTATGAATATGACAAAGTATTGCTTTGGTTACTTAATACATCGAAAAGTCGATCAAACCGGTGGAGAAATAATTGTGCTTTTTTTAAATCACATTTTCAAAAAAGCCATCGAAAATTAAAATAGATAATTATAAGTTTTAGTAATGAAATACCGCTTGTATTTGTTCAGGCGCAGTGAACATAACAAGGATTAAGCTGTAGGGTACTCACGAACAGATAATTTCCCGTAAGATTAAAATTCACGCGAGAAGCGTTGTCGTGACAACTAGTTAACCTTGTACAAGAATCTCTCAGTTTTATATTATTTGCCATATATCTGATCAGAGTTACCTTCCAGTGTTTCCAGGATGGTCTGATTTTAATTTTTTTTTTGAAGAGTCAAGGCATTCACTTTTAAAGTTTGCGTTCACTAGGAAGTAAATTAAGTTTATGACGGACTAAATCAAAATTAAATTAATTTTATTCCGACTGAAAACACGTTTCACAGTTCAAATTAGATGCTTCCCGTTGACAACTTTTTCAGCACGCGCTTGTGATTCTCGACTTTAATCTTTATCAACACGCGCTCGACTTCCGTCAGTTAGTCTCCTTAGAGGTTATTAACGATTTTAATCAAGATTATTTGTCAACAGTTTGATTAACGAGGACAAGAAAAAGAGATTTTCAGCAGTTGACAGCAATCAGGTTTTGAATACATTATAAACTGAGAGCAAAAGGTCGCACTGATGATGAATAACAACAGCTCTGATCGACAACTGATTTAACAACATGCGAAAGCAACTTGGTTTTCGCCATTACTTTGCCATCGGAAGCGTGGTAACCGCTCTAGTTCTTACGATTTCTTTTTTGAATGAGCGTATACCAACGTCGAGAGGTTTTCTCTCAGAAAACTGGGAGTCTGACGATGTTCCCTCTAAAAGTTATAAGCGACAACGAAAGGGTTTGTTAATCATAGGAAGAGGTCGATCAGGCACGAGTTTCCTGTCGAAGATGTTTGGGAGCGGAAAAAGAGTGAGTAAACAAATGTTAACATGAAAACATTCTTTGAATTAATCACACATCAATCTTATAATTTTAATAGCATTTGTTGTTCATGAATTTCACAGGGTCCTAAATAGAAGGATTACACAGTTCGAGTTTATCCTATGAAGTATTCGTCTGGTATATTTTGTTGTCAAAACGCCAACCAAAATATGACAAAAATTACCTGTTAGTGTGGCTTCAAATGAGCTCTTCCCGCAGAAAATTAAACAAACACACTAATTTGATCCGGTTTGCTTTAAGATTACCCCGCGGTTGGAAACAAATCAGGTTTAAGCGGAGGAGAAAGTAGCGAACTTTCCCAAAGGCCGAACTCTTCCCTCCCCTCTCCTCGTTTTGATAATTTTCTATCAGTTTTGAAGATATTTTGGCCAAAAGTTGGGATAATTGGGTTTTATTATTTGTGTATTACCTCTACACCAAAATAATGCTTATGAGCGTGAGAGGAAAGACGATTTAGGGGTCGCTTTAAAATTATCTTACACAAAGCTTCAATAAATTCTAGGACTCGATTTGTCCGAGATCATTACAACAGATTTTGATCTTTTGCCATGGCAGTTGATCTACCCTTTTTAGATAATCAACCATGAGTCAAAAGCTTGATTTGATCACATTTCCACCCAAACAACCCGAGGGTCAATACAATTAAGACGCTTATCGTGATGTAACACCAAATTCTCAAGAGTATCTGTCGAAGAAATATACAGTTCTGAGTAAGGAGAGTCAACTTTTTGATCACGAAAGGGTAGAGGGCTGCCATTAGTTTTATTTTTGCGTTCGTAGTTTCCTAGTACGTTCATTGACTGAATGACTGGAGGGGGGGGGGGTACTTGGGTCAATTTTTGCTTAGAAACCCATTGTAATCTATTCTGTAGCCAATTGTAGACCCCATCTTGGTCAGTTTTAGGCAAATGTAATTTTCGCGATCTCAACTTTCTGTTATGTTTCTACCCTTTACCAGAACTTCCTTATCCCAAAAATTACGAAAGTGTGCGACCTTTTTAGTAACTGCATTGAAAATGTAATCCCTTCACAGTCAATCCAGTCGTGAAATGCGACCCCAATTAGCCTCAGGAATTAAGAAGTTCCCTCCCCCCGGGAGAGCTGTGCAACTGGCGAGCGTTACCATTTTCATTCACAGATTTTCGAAGTTTATGAACCTTTACGATTTCGCAACCTCACAAACGTTGCAAAGATAGAAGTCCTGAAAGCATTTCTCTCCTGCAACTTCGCTTCAAGTCCTCTATGGCAAAAAGACTATTTTCCACCTTTCTGGTACTTGAAACAGAAGTATTATTTCGTTACTCCAAGTCAACACCTGGCGTGCCTAAAATACAGAAGTGGAAGTACACGCTGTTTCCCTGCGGAGCAGATGTTTACAAAATTTATCGATAAGTGCAGATACAGCTATGACAGCACTGTGCTTAAGGAGCTTACTGAACGGTTACCAGACACCAGTTTGTCAAGTCTAATACCGGAAATTATTGACCGCTCATTAAGTACAGATATCAGACTACTGCACGTTGTGCGTGATCCTAGAGGAAGTATTAACTCGAGGATTAAACTTAAGTGGATGCCAGATTACGAACATCCACAATTTAAGGAAAAGGTTCAAGACTACTGTAATGGGATTCTCCAAAACATCGAGTTTGGTTTACAACTTAACGAATCTCTCCAACAGAGATATAAACTTATCTTCTACAAGGATATAGCCACCTGGCCGGTTGAATCGGCGAGAGAAGTCTTCAAGTTCGCGGGATTAAGGTTATCAGACAAAACATTAAGCTGGATCGAAAACAGGACAAGTCCAAGTAAAATGGATTCGAGAAGGCAGTTTAAGAATCCGTACTCGCTAGTAAGGGATTCTAAGGCGAATATCGAAAAATGGCGGAGAGAGTCGCCACCGGAACGAACTATGATTATAGAGAGAATTTGTAAACCGTTGATTGAACTTATGGAGAAAATCAGTATCGAAAGAGAATATTTTTTGATATAGATATCTTAAGGAAGCGCAAAATGGTTTTGTTATTTTGTTAGAAGATATTTCTTACACTTTTAGTACAGTGGTACTTTCTATATTCCTTTTCTATTACACAACTTGCTGCCTTGGGAACTAGCTCAGATCTGAGTGAGAATGCTGGTCACCAGCTTATAAAGGTGACACTTACTAAGCTGTCAATCTTCATGCATCTTCATCATTTCTCACTTAGCCAGCGAATCACGTTAAGTTACGAGAAATAGTTCCCGCATGCTAAGTACGTACCTTCGAGATGTTTACGCTTTGCAAAATCTTTTTCTACCTTAAATTTCTTGCTCTTACGGTCAAGGTTGGGCAAAACAAGAACAAGATTATGGTAATATGAAAATTATAATGAACTTATTGACAGAATTAGAATCATACTTGAAAAGATATCTTAAGAGAAAATAGCCTTCGAAGACTCTTACATAACAACAGAATAAACAGAAAATTCGGAGAGGAAAGAGCGTACCCAAGGTACCGCCTTTACAAGAATTAAGTGCTGTTCGTATAAGTGCTTGATTATAAATTCAGTGCAGAAAATGAAAAGTGTTAGTTGTTTACACCTTAAGTCACCTTTAAAGAAAGAGGTGTCGGACAAGCTAAATAAAATTGTTACATAGAAACATCTTTCTCCATGTCAAATTCGCGACCGCAATAAAAAAAGGTGACAAACTCTGCTTGTAAGATAAGACCGCCAAAGGATAAGAAGACCGCCAAGAGCAAATGATCAACTTGCTTCTTATAAGTTTTTTTTAATGAATGGCTAATGGTAATGAATTATTTCCATTCATTTTCTCGACACCAATATGGGGAAAACCTTACAATGTTTTCAGATTAGATATGTATATATATATATATTTCTATCGTTTAACAATTTTCAACATTAATCCAGTGGGTATTTAAGGAGGCTTTGAACCAATTTATCGATTTCTAAAAAAAACTTTACAGACAGTGAAACTTGACATGCTAATTGAAATCTACTGATTAACTGTGGTTCGCCAAACTCGATTACAAGTTACAGTAATATAGATCTAGAATTAAGTTTGTTTTCAAGAGGCTGTGTCGTTGTCACTCTCTTCGTATTTATCAGAGAAAGGAGCATAACACGATATGAAATAAATGGGCTTGTTAATAACTTTTTAACGAGTAAATAAGCATTATAACAAATGTCTTTTTAGCCACCTTGAGGTCAGCGGAATTATCATAAGTTATCGTGAGTTGTCTTTCAGTGACACCCTCGCCTGTGTAGTCAGTTTTTGCGTTTCCTTTCAAAGAAACGTACGCAGTTGAACAAAGACGTTTAGTCGAACGCCTTTACTGTCTTTTCTTTCCTTTCCCACCCTTGTACTCTGTGCTTTGATGTCAGCTGCCTCCTAACCCCAATCTGCCCGAGCGGTGTCCCCGGAGGACTGCAGCGAGGAGAGATGGAACTCTTCATTTAATGAATTCAAGTATTTCAGAGTCGATTTTTCATTTTCATTTATAATTTGCCAACTTTGGTTTGGAAACTCTCTCCATGCCTAATGAATCCAATAGAGTTTTGCAATGTCTCTCAATGATCCGATTCCTGAAATAAAATGCATCTTCCCTCCATTTATCCGCGTTTCCTGAAGCATTCCGCACTGTAGAATAAGGTTTCTCCAGTTCCTTCTTGAGTGTTTCCGCGCTCGGTTTTGTTGTCTCTAATACCCATTGTTCTGTCTCTAGAGGCATTTTAAATCCAGCAAAGTCATAGATATCCTTGGCAGTCCCCAACGGATCATCAGCAATCTGCTTGTACAAAACCAGTTTGTACCTGTGTTTGAGTCCCAAGTCTGTTAACGTTTTATCCGCATGATATAAATTAATGAGAATTGAACCACATAGGTCCGCTGCAGTCGATGGTAGTTTTGGGCTGGGGTAATCTTTCACCCAGTCTAAATTAATTCGAGAATTAATGTTACCTCGGGGATCTCGTACCAGATGTAACACTCGCACGTCTAGATCCGGATTTTCCAATAAAACTCGAGGAACAAGATCAGCCAGTTTTTCTCGAGGTAACCTAGCGGGTGCGACCTTAACAACGCTGTGTTTATACTTTGTATTGCAAACACGATCCACAAAACCCGGGTTTTTTCCAAGTTTGGGACAATTTATATTCCTTACATCCCGAGTTTTGTTGCAAAAGTTTGGTGTATCGAAAATATTAACTGGCAGAGCACCAGTCCAGGGAGTGGAAACATACGACAGGAATTTTGTCGAAGCAGGGGAGCGTGAGAAATTACAAGCCATAATGGAACTTACTACTTGAAGTTCGCAACTTATGCAACGACGATAATACTGGTTTTCGTAAAAAAACCATCTTTGAGTTATCCAGAGCGGCTCGTACACCATGAATATTTGTGGATCGTTTGCAAACATTGCACTTATAAAGGTCGTCCCAGAGCGATCCTGACCAAAAATTATTATGCCTTTTCTTGGAACTCGTAGAGAAGGAATCTGAATATATGTGGATTGTTCTTTTTTCAAACTCGACTGATTACCACGGTATGTTTTAACATTAAATGTGTAAAACACGTAACCTAAGAAAACCAGTGAGGCACTTAAAAGTGCTGACCAATATTTAATGAAATTTCTCGTCCGCATCTTTAACCTGTAAATAATAAAAAAGGAAATCAAAAACGTAAACGAGCTTGGGAAACTTTTAAAGATTGAAGTCATTTAGGGTACTAATATTTCTTTTGTTGCAATTATGTTAACTGCATAAATATAGAGGTTGGCAAACGATTTATATTTTTATGTGACGCGTGAGTTAGTTAAAAATTTAAACGTGACACGTGGCAAGTCAAGATGAGATCTGAAGTTTCCCTTTTGCTTTTTGTTACGCGCGCTTAAAATATTCTTGAGTTCGAAAACAAAAAATGACGCGCGAATTTCTCTAAAATGCATGCAGGAACCTTCTCTTTGCTATCCTTAACATACACAACTCCAAGCTATGATAATCAGCATATTTATCAGGGCAAATTCTTTTAGACCATCCAGTCACCAGTTTTTATGCTGCGGTAGGACATAATGAAATTGGGTTCGCGCTTCCCACACAGGTCACGATCGTCTTCGATTTAAAACTCTTACCTCTTGGAAATGTACTTTTTTCCTTATGTTATGACTCAGTCATCAAGTCTAGTCAGGTTCAATGTCACAGCTTTCAAAACCAGACAATACACGCGATGGAGATTTACAGAGCTAACAACACGCACAAGTAAATCTGAACCTTAGCTCACAAACTAACCTCTTGCCAAAGGCAGGGTGTTTGCGATAACACAAATTGCAATAAATTTCTGTCTTTTTTGATTTATGTGCAAACATACTTCTCCGAGACACAAAGTTGCTTAGTGACACAGTGCAAAAGACATGCGTTACTTATATTAAGGAAAATAGCAATGTAATTGCTGCTTTAGTTTGTAAATATAGCTGGCGTTTTCAAAATGTTGCACAGTTTAATTTTATTTATTTATTACAAAACCTTTGAACCTGAAATCGTGTGGTTTCACTGGCTTTGTTTTGTTGATCTAAAAAATGCAAAGGTTGAGCACTACAACCTTAAAATTTTCTCCCTAGAAGTTTTCTTTTTTTTCCACCACAGAAGCCTATTCGAACATTTTCATTAGATGTTCTGGGTTTTTTGTGTTTGAACCTATCAACGCAATGTAAAAGAAACACTCACTGAGGAGGTTATATAATGCTATTTTAGATAATTTTGGCAGATATAATCGTGGTCATTACCAACCGGAGTATCGCAAATGTGGTTCATTGAAAGAAAAAAAAAAAAAAAAAAAAAAAAAAAAGAAGAAGGAAGTTACTCAATACTCTCAGGGGTAGGGCAAGGAGAGGTTTGATCTCAACATCACTAATGGTCAGCTGTCATACCCAATCATACATGTGAAACATGGCGGACGCTTTTGGTGAAGACGATATCTTCGCTGTTTTCGAAGATGATTCAGGCAAAAAATCAGATAAAAACAATAAGAAAGGGAAGAAGGAAGCTACTGATTTATCGACGTCCACAGGAGCGTCAAGTATCGGAGAGAAAAGAGAATTTACACCGGGCGCTATCGACCTCGATGATGCTGGAGCTAAGAAAGCGAGAGTTGACGACATGGAGAGGTGAATCTTGTCTGTTTGCTCTTTATTACGTTTATGATTAAAAAATGAGTAACAAGTAAAAGTAGAACTTTTACTTGTTAGTAGATTTTTGTCGGAAAATAGTTCACCGTTGGTAAAATAACGAAACAGTCAAGTGATTGTTTACATTATGGGTGACAGTAAAAATCAGGCTCCGAAGAAAACTGTCGATCGGTCGTGTGTCCACCGGCTGTTGGGCGATAGCTGTCTCTTTGTCAGGCCGATCGTTTACCGATTGTCGTCATTCTGTGAGTAACCTGTTCTTAACTACGACCAGTGCTTGTGAGCGCATGATGCAGTGATTCTGATAATACAGCACAAAGTTGCTCAAAGAAAACAAAGAGTTATAGGAATTGTAGAATTAGTTTAAAGGAAAAGTTAAGTTACTTTGTCTTTTAATATATATGTTTTTTTTTTATATTCGTCACGAAGTCTCCTGGAGACAATTCCCAGAGTTAATGTCAGAAATGTTGAAACTATTGAAGCCTGCACTCACGAGGTGAGTTTTTACAAGAACAATCTTTTTTTTACCACTTATCAACTAACATTAAAAGTGCATGTGTATGTTTTGATTCAAATATTTTTGTGAATTAAGATTTTTGTAGTTGGTTGGTTTTTTATTTTCATTTGCCACTCATGGAACACAGCAAAATAAGAATAAGGCTCACTAGAAACATCTAAACCAAGAAAAATTTGCACCATAACTTAGTCATAGTATAGGCTGTAATCAGAATGTGAGCAACAAACCATGTACTGTCTTGCTGATATCATAAATTTTCCATTTCTTCAAGGTGGCAGTTCCAGAAGGATGTGATTATGTTCCATTAGAGAAAAAGGCAACAAAACCAGCCAAGGTAATTGTCACTTCTTTTTCTAGTTCATCCATAGTAATAGATACTATAAGGTAGCATAGCAATGTGGTGGGTTAAATTGTTGCCAATTTCACAAAGAGTATTCTTCATTCACAAAAAAATGTTTCTGGTAGACAAATGATCAAAGAAAATGAGATTTAATTATTGAAACTTTTTCTTTTTAGGAGTATCCTTTCATCCTGGATCCCTTTCAAAAAGAGTCTGTGAAATGTTTGGAAAACAATCAGTCAGTCTTGGTGTCTGCTCATACATCAGCTGGAAAAACAGTTGTGGCTGAGTAAGGAGATTTTTTTGCATAACCTAAGGGTAATATTTGATGGAATAATCTGATTGTCTACATGTAGGTAAGGGAACATTTAGTCTTGAGGTGGACTGTTTTTGGATGTTAGGGATTGATGTTAGACAACCTTGGTGGATTGTACATCTTTCTCTATATCCCGGCGGAAGAGACAGTGACAGCAATTTTAATACAGTACTAGTTGTGGAATATTTGTGAACAAAGATTCAAGCAATTGTCAAACATTCTGGTTGCCTTCTATTCACACTCTCTGCCCTGTTTGAATCCAGCCTGAACAGTAGATTCTCACCACCAGTAACTATATATTTCTTTATAAATTAGTTTTGAGAGTTTGCTATCATAGATATCAAGGTGGACCATTTAACCTTAGCTCTAGTTTGGTAGCCCTTAGTCACTTTGCTTCCTTTTGGTGTTTTATTGTGTACAAATAAATTATTTTTGTGTATTGTTGTTAGGTATGCTATTGCTATGTCTCTAAAAAACAAGCAGAGAGTCATTTACACTACACCTATCAAGGTAAGAAAGGAGTACAGCAGAATTTGGATTTTTCAAATAATTGGTTTCGTGAAACTCTAGATAATTGTAACCAAAACTGGGCCCCTTTCTCCATCCAATGCTGTAACTGCTCCTCCCCTCATCATTATTTTATCCAATTTTCTCTTCATTGTAGTTACGTAACTATTTAGTTTACATACTATGGTTTTCAGTTGAGTGAGACTTGACAAAGTTTGGCTACCATGGTTTGATGTTAAAATTGTTTCATTGTCATAGGTAGCTGGCTCTGTTTCCAGTGGCAATGTGTTGTTTGACATCTTTTCAAGGGCTTTCACATTTAAAAGTTAGGGATGGATAGCTCTTGAGATTTTGTTACCTTTGGAAATGAGGAAAATTGCTTGTGATTACAACATAATTTCATTGTCAAAACCCTGTCACCAAACTTTTTCTGCATCTCACTCAACAGCAAATTGTACTGCCCACAAGTTATAAAGCACTTTGTCATTATTGTTTGTTTTGTGATGTTTTGTAAGGCTCTCAGTAACCAAAAATACCGTGAGTTGTATGAGGAGTTCCAGGATGTTGGTCTGATGACAGGAGATGTCACAATAAATCCCAGTGCAAGTGCTTTGGTCATGACCACAGAGGTATATGCACAAGTTGTTTCTTATCTGACATTTTTATTGTTCTGTGGTTCATTAAGCTTGTAATGTAGTGTACATTTGCACACATGTAGTATTATTGAAAAGTTCTTTTAGCCTTTTTTCTTACAAGTTAATGTGTGATTGCTTTCAGATTTTGAGAAATATGCTGTACAGGGGCTCTGAGGTTAGGAAAGTTTTACATAATTAAATGGAGAGAATTTGTGATTCCCCTTTGAGGAACTACCTTAGTTATTGGGTACAGGTGTTGTGTCAGACCCTTTTTCAGTATCTAATCTTAGACTGAAGATCTTTTTGTCTGACATCACTTGCAGTTTTGTAGATTGTTTAGGACTGGGATCTTGAGGTGGGAATATTTGTTTTATTTGGGTGGTAAAATTCAACATCATGATCTAGAATGGGATTAAGATTTAATTTAGTGTGCCACACACTCATGCTGTCTCAGGTATGGTGGACTGTAGACCAAGAGGTTTTCTTTCAGGCAGAAGGGTTTCTTTTGTTTTTTATGACAAACAGCTGTTACCCAGTATTTCTAAGGGTGGTTTAGTTCACCTGTTCCCTCTTAAGATCTCAGAAGTAACTCTCCAATCAGTCAGCCTTACTTTTTTTCACAATGTTAGCTCTGAAAACTTGGTGTTGTGTGAAACATTTTCTCTTGATAGGCATTTTTCTTTACTCTCATCACCTATCTATTAAATGGTGTACAGTATTTAAATTATAAGGAGAAATTACAACTTGGTCACTCTCGAGAGTAAAGGGGTTTGGTTTTTTAGTCTCTCTTTTAGTTACAAATCTTCACATTGATTACAACCTTCAGAGGTCTTTTAATGGGGATTAAGGTCTTGTGTTTGTCTCTTCTTTCACTTGTAGGTCATGAGGGAAGTAGCCTGGGTTGTCTTTGATGAAATTCACTATATGCGAGATAAAGGTGGGTGTGGAGAAATTGGAGTGGATCTTTTGATAAGGATTGTGATAATGATAATCATTATTACGATCATGATAGTGTATTGACATATGATTTACTAAGGATTTAAATTTAATTTATGTAAAATTAAATTATGTATTATGTTTTTTTCCCTGTAATTATTGAACTACTTTTCATTTCCTGTTTTTAGAAAGAGGTGTAGTTTGGGAGGAAACCATCATTCTTCTTCCAGACAATGTACATTATGTGTTTCTCTCTGCTACAATTCCAAATGCCAGGCAGTTTGCAGAATGGATTGCGCACCTCCACAAACAGGTTGACAAATTATTGCTTCTCTGCTCATTAAATGATTCATTTTGCATTGCTTTAGAGAACTTAGAACTACACTTGTATGTTTTATTCTGGCAAACAAACAAACTAGCTGCCTTTGTAATATGGCAAACTGAATCTTATAGATTTAGCTGAACAGTTATTCAAGTCCTTCTATCCGAGCCTGAACTTAACCCTTAAAACCTTAAGTAACCAACATCTAATTTCTCCTTACAGTAATACTCCTGAATCATTCTTTAAGATCATGAGAATAAAGGAAATGATCACAAACTTAAGAAGCTTCAATTGTTAAACAACCCACCTTGACAATACCAAAGTAAATGCATATTAACATACTTTTCCCAACCTCATCTAGTAATGATTAATTAGATGTGTTCTGCACAGAATGATGTGTACTAAATGTTTCTTGTTGTGTAGCCATGTCATGTGGTGTATACAGACTTCAGGCCTACGCCTCTTCAACATTATATTTACCCAGCTGGTGGAGATGGTCTTTTCCTTGTTGAGGATGAAAAGGTATGTGTCTACTCCATCAATGTAAGTGAAAAAGACTTCCTCAGGCAACAATGGTTGTGAAACTGCTGGAATAGAAAACTAGAAGTACAGTTGAATCAGTAACTCAAATTCCCCTCTTACTTGAAGCAAAACTGATTTCCCTCAGATTTACCTCATATATTTACTGTTATTTTAACCCATATAACTTGAAACCCTGAGAACTCAAAACTCCCCCTAACTTGAAGCAATTTTTACATGAGAATAAAGGAAATGGTCACCAACTATAGAAGCTCTTGATTTTTAACCCTTTAACTCCCAAGATCTCATCAGTAATTCTCCTTTCTGTCTGCCAAATGATTCTCATTATGTTAGTTTGGAGAATTTGGCATCAGATCAATTAGTAATCCCATAATTGATTTTTTTTTATTCTCATTACTTGTGTGTATGATATTGTACAAATACAGTAAGGAGAAATTCTGTCTTGGTCGCTCATGGGAGTTAAAGGATTAAACAAATTTTAAATGGAAATGTACTGAGAACAGTATGGAGAATATGCATACTGATGTTAGGGTGTAAACCAGGTTCATCTCTGGTGGCCCCCAGCTAGCCATTCTTCAATTTAGACTAAAGGTTTCTTTTATCTGGTAACATGAAAAACTGTCAGCATTTTTAATATCTGTTGATGTTCGCTTTATTAGGGAGAGTTTCGTGAGGAGAATTTTCAAAAGGCCATGGCTGTTATAAGAGAAGGAGGAACTGACCCAGGGAACCTGAGAGGAAGGAAAGGGGGGACTAAAGGTGTGTTTGGGTGTGGACAATTTCGTGTATTGCAAACAGTATTAGCTGTGCATTTTATTTTTCATCTACACATGTACACTCTATGATTCACCTATGTCTGTCAACTTACTACCTACTTATTTACTGCCTGTCGCACCTCTTGGCACGTAGGGCAACGATGAAATCTTTCCATTCTTTCCTATCCTGGGCCGCTTCTGGATTGCCCCCCGTGTCTTATGTATGGTCTTCATCTCCTCCTCAACCATCCACTGCTGAGTCATTTTAGGTCGGCCTCTCTTTTTCTTTCCCTTGGAAGGAAATTTCAAGTCATTAACTTGATGATAATTGATCTACTCACTACTGACTTTTAAATCACTTTACTTTTGTCTGCTCAAACGTATCAAAAGAGATCACAAAAGTGAAGTTAATAGTCTAGAGAATTTTAGGAAAAACTACAACAACAGTCGAGCAACAAACTTTTCTTGACATTCAATTAATGAACACACCCAATCAAAATATTTTCCCTCTATAAATCAGTATTGATGGTCAAGTGGGACTGGAAATTCCAGAGCTGTTAACTTATGTGATTTATTTCAGGTCCTTCAAATTGTTTCAAAATTGTCAAAATGATCATGGAGAGGAATTTCCAGCCTGTGATCATCTTCAGCTTTAGCAAGAAAGAATGTGAAGCATATGCTTTGCAGATGTCTAAGCTGGACTTTAATTCAGGTAAGATGATATTATGAAGATACATTTATGGTGGCCTACTGAGGGGGAGGAGGGGGGACAGTGGCTTGTATGTGGGACTTCAGCTCAAAATGTCTGGGTTCAAACTCTGGTCAGATACATAATCATTGCCCATTTGCAGTAGCAGGAGTATAGGTTGTTGGGTAAACCTGACAAAATACTTGCAGTGGTCCTACAGTGTGACAAGTGGAAGTTGTTTTTCAACTGAAGTCATACATGTAGCTCTTTCCCTTTTCTAGGTCAAGAGAAGAAGTTGGTAGAAGAAGTGTTTAATAATGCTATTGACTGTTTATCAGATGAGGACAAAACTCTTCCTCAGGTAAAAAAAATATATATATTTCAATAAAGCAGCATTATGATGGAAGTTTCTTTTATTTGCAAGACCATGCAGTAGTTAATGCATTCATGTGCAAATTTAGATGCTTTTCAAGCAATTCCCTGGCCAGGAAATTGATTGCATACAATGTCTGCTCAAAATAAGGCATTAATTTCAATTTTTAGGTGGAACATGTTCTTCCCTTGCTGAAGCGTGGTATTGGCATTCATCACTCTGGACTTCTTCCAATTTTAAAGGAGACCATTGAAATTCTCTTCTCAGAAGGTTTAATCAAAGTAAGTATATCCTGATTCCTTGCAGGCAGAAAAGTTAACAATAATTATTGAGTCCTGAAGTTTTGTTGTTGTTGATTGTAATTGTTCTTTTCAGGCTCTTTTTGCCACTGAAACATTTGCTCTTGGTCTTAACATGCCTGCAAGAACAGTTGTGTTTACAAATGCCAGAAAGTTTGATGGGAAAGACTTCAGATTTGTGAGTAGTTCTAGTACCTCTTTCCACTTTTCAATTTTGCACAAGGGGGGGAGAAGAAAGTTAAAGTAAAGCACATGATAATGCCTCTGCAAATCTCCAAGGAGCCTCCCACAACACTCCAGTGACACTACTGAATTGATCAGGTTTTAACAGAATGATGTTCCCCATATCAATACACTCAGCCCTGTGATTAACTCTGATTTCCAGATAACATCAGGAGAGTACATTCAAATGAGTGGCAGAGCTGGAAGACGTGGCATTGATGACAGAGGGATAGTCATTTTGATAGTGGATGAGAAAATGGGACCTGATGTTGGAAAAGCAGTGTTAAAGGTATCATACTTTTCCCTTAGCTTTTGGTGAGATTAAGGGCCATTTTCTTACAAACAATGAACCAGTAACAAGTAACTTTTAATTGTTAATAACAAATGAGACATGTCTACACTGTACACCCAGTTCCCTTGGAGATCTTCTCTTTTTGCTAAATAAATTATGTTTTACTTTTTGTTTTAACTTGCTTTATTCCCAGGAGTGATACAAAATAATGTAACTTCTTGTCGCAAAATGAATTCATTGTCAAGTGCGTAGGATGGAAATAGAGGAAAACATCAGTTAAAGGAATGTTTAATAAAAGAGATTAGGTTGGGATAAAGATGCAGTGTAAGTCATTACATGCAAGTGACTGTTTCCATAACTGCACTGTAGTAGTGGAATTGAGAAGAAGCTGTAATTAAATTTTTAAGACTTTAAACTGGTCAGTACAGACAATGTAACTTACTCTTCAATTTTTTTGCTACCAACAGGGCCAAGCAGATCCACTGAACAGTGCTTTTCATCTCACTTACAACATGGTGTTGAACCTGCTGCGTGTGGAAGAAGTGAATCCTGAGATTATGCTGGAGAAATCATTTTATCAGTTTCAGAATTATGCCTCTGTTCCTGGCTTGATTGAAAGTAAGTACTGCTCAGAAGCTTTCAGTTGTTAATTGCAGCCAGACAGATTGTGGCTGTACATGCTTTAACTCCTGGAAGTGATAAACATGTAACTTCTCCTTAAGGCATCCATACATTATCCAGCAAGCAGGTAATGAGAATACTTAAACTTGTCAGGTAGAAGTCGCTATCTTGATCTCACTCCAAATTCTCAGAACCAATTTACTTGGAAATTTGTAGCAGCCAGAAGGGAGAATTAACAATCAGATCTTGGGAGTTAAAGGGCTCTGCTGGTTCTGCATTATTTTTCATGGTCATTATTTTATCAGAGTTTGAATCAGTACTGTACATACTGTATTCCTCAAATAAGCACCTGGGCTCCTATATGAAGGAAGGTGCTTATCATTCTTCTGCACTGATTCCATTGTAGTTGAAGCTTAAGTAGTATAGATATTAAATGCTAGTTGAAACAGATTTTCCTTTCATCCCTATGATTTAAGAAATTGAGGGAGGAGGTGGGTGCCTTTTCAAGGGGGGTGCTCATTTGAAATTATGCTTAGGGGTGGGTGCTTATTTGAGGAAATGCAGTATAAGCAGTCATAGGACTGCATGAAAGTATTGAGCAACAACATTTTTTTGGGAGCAGTTTTGGTGCTTGTTGTCTCTTATGGGTATACATGTAAATTACAATTTCAGTTAAAATTAGCTTGAATCATGACTGTGTTCTCTTTTTCTTTGTTGTTTAAAGAGCTCAAAGATCTTGAAACCCAGAAGGAATCTTTGGAAATCCAAAATGAAGAATCCATTATGTCATACTACAAAATGAGACAACAGATAAATAGACTTGGGGATGAGATGCTGGTAGGTGTGGCTTTGATTGTCGTTAACCCTGTAACCCCTAAGAGTGACCAGCATCTAATTTCTCCTTACAATAACACCCTTGAATCAGACATGAAGGTCATGAGAATAGAGGAAATGATCACCAACTAAAGCAGCTCTTGATTATTAAACAAATTCTCTTTGACAGCACCTTGGGAAATGTATGGTGAATAGTATGGAGAATGTGGATATTGATGTTAGGGGGTAGAGAGTTGATTTTGCTATTGAGCAATTTTCAGTCAAATGTTAAAAGTAAGGTAGGATTGTTTTGCTTTTCACAGTGGGATCAAGGTACGGAAAATAGGTTAAAATTAGTGGATAATATCTTGTTATTAATGGTAATCTTTATTTCTACCTATTATTTAGGGTTATGTTCATCAACCTAAGTATTGCCTTCCTTTTATGCAACCTGGACGGTTAGTTGAGGTAAGGAATGTTTTTTTTTTTAATTAACAATTATTAACTAGGAAAAAGACACAGGTTTGTTAAAAAACAATTTGTTCTTACAAAGTTGACAACAAAACTGAAGCCTCTGTTTGTTACTTCCCTTATAATTTTAAGTGATCTGGGTTACTTTCAACACCATTTTCACTTTGAATAGCAGGGAGATCTCTAATGTAATCCTTCATACATATATTTTGTTGTTCTTCTTTGTTTTGCTGCTTTCAGTAACTTGATCAAATATTTATTTTGTAGGTGAAGAATAATGACATTTACTTTGGATGGGGTGCGGTTCTCAATTTCCAGAAGAAGGCCAATCAAAAGGTATTTAATGGATTATATAAGATCATTGAAGCATCTAAACTTCCAGAGAATAATGCATAGTGAATGGTTTAAACTTGGGATTAACAGTTAATCATTTAGTCTCATCGCAGTCCTGAGAAGGACTGATGTCAATAATGGTGAGTGATGCTTTAACAATCATGGTAGAACTCCTCATCAGAGAAATTGACTCAGTTTTTTCCAAGGTATTTGTTCCTATTTATGTTAATATTAAAGTCTGCTCTTGAGACAAGTGGACTTCTCTGCCATACACTGTAGCTTCTCTTGTGTTTGCATAGCACAAAGTGACTTGATTGTTACATGTACTTCAGTCTCCTCCAGGATGGGAAGCCAGTCCATCACAGGGTTACCCCACAACATTTGGTCAGATTTCCCTTTCAGTTTTCTACAGTAAATGGTTTGAACCTGTGGGTAACATGTGATAGTGTAGTCTGATTGTCTGGGTGAGTGTAGTCCAGAGATGGACTTTTGTTGGTAGTTTTGACAACTGGAATGGAAGTCATCAATCAGGTTGTTGAGAGCTCAGTCACCACTACCAGCAACAGTCCTTCTTAGGACCACACTTACTGGATGATCAGGCTACACTATTACATTTTCCTGCTACCCATTTATCCCCATGGGCGATGGGTTGGTGGTGAAGTGTCTTTCCTATGGACACAATACAAAGGCTGAAGCAGGGCTTATCATCTGCACCTCTCAACCAGAAGATAAAAAAGCCAACCATAAGATTACTGGACCTCCCACAGTCTAGCCTTATCATGACTATGATCAGAAGTTTTACTGGAAATAATATTGTTGTTTAAATCCCTTCCTCAGAGTGGTCCAACACATGGGGAGACTTTGTATGTGTTAGAGGTGTTACTTAATTGTTCCAGTCAGCCGTTGAAGTCAGCAGATGGTGAGACACCTCAGCCATGCGGGCCTGATGAAAAAGGAGAAATGCAGGTAAATCAGTGATTCAGGATTTACTGGGTTAATTCAATTGTTTTCCAGAAAAATATGGCTGCATTTGTTAGAAGTACGACATTTTTTTTTCCCTCAGGTTGTGCCCATTTTGTTACAATTGGTGAAAGCAATAAGCAGTGTCAGGTTGTACATTCCTAAGGATTTGAGGTCACTGGACAGTAGACAGAGTGTCGGAAAATCAGTCAAGGTTGGTACTTGATGAATGTTACTTCAAAGTGTCGGGTAACTTACACAGTAGGTTAAAAATTCAAGTTGCTTCACTCAAAGGCTCTAAAGCACTAAGGAAGTAATTAAACCTTTAAACCCTAAGAGTGACTAGCATCTAATTTCTCCTTACAATAAAACTGCTGAATCATTCATTAAGATTGTGAGAATAAAGGAAAGGATCACCAACTTAAGAATCCTTGATTGTTAAACGAATTCTCCTTGTCAGCAACAAAGGAAACATATAGAGAAAAGTATGAAGAATATGGATGCTGATGTTAAGATGTAAAGGGTCAAGGAAAGGAGTCTTGGCAATTAACAGCAAACAAATTTTTACAGTGGTCTTCTTTCAATAGGAGGTACAACGTCGATTTCCAGATGGCCTACCAATGCTGGATCCTATAGAAGACATGGGAATCAAAGATGAGGGATTAAAGTCTGTTATAAGGGTGAGTGCAATCAAAGCCTCTGTTGTAAGTTTAATATATTTTATTTAAAACAATCAAAATTTTTTCTGATTTTGTAAAAGCTAAATACACCATGCCTGGTCTGCTCAGATGAAGGGGTATCCTAGATTTGATATCCAAGTAAAAATGTTAATTTTCAGTTTGGAGGTTATAAGATGAGATCTTAATGAGAAGAAGTTTAAAAAATTTGTTAGATTTTTCTATTTCTTAGTACAACTATTTGCACATGTTTTGAAACTTAGACTGTTCACAGGTCTTGAATTGACTCTGATCATGACACATAACAGAGAGGAACATGTAATGTAGGAGACAAAAAAAAAATGGAGGGTCCAAAGTGGGGCTCAATAGCCAGCCCCTTTTCATGCCAGGAGCCTGTGAACAGAGACAACTCTTAAGTGAAAAGCAGAAATCAAGCCTAAGAAATGGTGATAGTGTAGCATACCCTCTCTACTTAAATGCATTTGGTTCTCAACATTTCCTTTCACAATTTTAACCCATTGACATCCGATGCACCCTCATGCGCCCAGAAATAAAACCCCTCTGAAATTCCAATGCACCCTCATGTGCCCTGTCAGAAATGGCTTGTTTTGATTGGCTTAAATTATTAAATTATTTTGGCAGTGGTCTGTGTGTTCACTGTGGCAGCCATTTTCTCTGGAATTTCAGGGGGTGGTCTGAGCTCTAAGGTGTGGAGCTCACTGGGTTAAGGAAGGAAAAGAGTTAGTATTGCAATAGGTAATACTAATAAAATGATAAATCTTTCTGTCTTTTCAAACAGAAAATAGAGAGTTTAGAGCATAGAATGTACACTCATCCAATGCATAAAGATCCTGATCTGAAATCCCTGTACAATTTATGTGAGAAGAAAGCTCAGGTAAAATGTTGTCATGTGTAAGAACTCATCATTAATGTGAAAATCAAAAAACCTGTTAGCACCACAAAATATTTAATTAAATAATGGATTCAAGGTGTTTAGATGTACTTTTATTAACCCTTTCACTCCCAAGATCTTGTGAGTAATTCTCCTTACTTTCTGCCAAACAATTCTTATGAGAATAGTTCAGAGAATTTGGTATTGGATCATCTGATAACCCTCTAAGTGACACTGTTCTTTATTCTCATCACTTGTCTGCTTGATATTGTATGGATATTGTAAGGAGAAATTCTGTCTTGGTCACTCATGGGAGTTGAGGGGTCAAAAGCTCAGAAAATATTATAGCAATCAAGCACTGTGGATGATCTCAGCCACTTGCTTGTATTTTAAAGGGTGTTTTTATTTAAAGGAGGGCTATTAATAACTGTCTTGTTGGAAAGTTTGTAACTTTAGTTAAAATTAGTGAAAAAGGCTGCTGTTATAAGAAAATGTATAAAAACTAGTGAGAATAGTATTTATATATTTTGTAGAGGGCTTGATGGGTTAATCATTATTGAGGAGAGTATTTATATATTATGTAGAGGGCTTGATGGGTTAATCATTATTGAGGAGAGTATTTATATATTATGCAGAGGGTTTGATGGGTTAATCATTATTGAGGAGAGTATTTATATATTATGCAGAGGGCTTGATGGGTTAATCATTATTGAGGAGAGTATTTATATATTATGTAGAGGGCTTGATGGGTTAATCATTATTGAGGAGAGTATTTATATATTATGTAGAGGGCTTGATGGGTTAATCATTATTTTATAGAGACAGACTTGTCAAAGCAAAGCCACTTTAATTTTCTGTTTGCCTTATGTAGATTATCAGTGAGATTAAAACAGTCAAGAAGGAATTGAGGAGAACAAAGACAGTTCTGCAAATGGATGAACTCAAGAGTAGGAAACGAGTTTTGCGAAGGTATCATTATGCACTTCTACGTGAAATAAAATATGTAAAACTAGTTACAGTCTTCTAGTTTTAATTTGTACCCAAATATTGACATGGAAACAAGTGAATCTCCAGTTTCTTGTATGCATTAGCTGTAGCCGTTGCCGTTTTTTTCTGTTTTTGCTTGGTTGGTTTTCATGCTTTTGTCTTATGATGGTGTGAGATATACAACTTGTGTGATCTCTGAGCTAAGAGGTTATGTTCTTGAGTAGCATACATTACCCTCACGGTGCCTCCACCCTCCCCCCCTCCATAGGTGTATAGGCGTAACATCACACTATTAGGGAAACCTAATGAAGTGCAGGGGGGGGGGGGACTAACTTATGATGGATTAGCATCCCATACAAGCATAGTAAGAAGTCCCTCCTCAACCCCCCCCCCATCCCCCATTAGTAGCCGAAATCGTCCTCCCTACAGGATTTTACTAATGAACCATGGAAAAGTTTATTTACTAACTGCCCAACCTTTGAAAACTTGAAGAAAGGAGTTATGCGAATTCTGTTGTTTCTCACCCTCTGTCTGAAACACAAATATTTCAGGTTGGGATATGCCACAGCATCTGATGTAATTGAGCTTAAGGGAAGAGTCGCTTGTGAACTAAGCAGGTCAGAAAAATTTATTATATTAACTTGATGGAGCTTTCGTGGTCATGGAAATATTCCTAAGTGTTTTTAGACGCACAAGAAACTTGTGTGCGTGAGATACTAACGAAACGGCCAAACAAAAGAGAATCGCAAGAGTGCGCGAGGTATCAACGAAACAAACGAACTAAAGAGCATAGTAAGAGTGCGCGAGATACTAACGAAACAAACGAACTAAAGACAATCGTCAGAGTGCGCGAGATACTAACGAAACAAACGAACTAAAGACAATCGTCAGAGTGCGCGAGATACTAACGAAACAAACGAACTAAAGACAATCGTCAGAGTGCGCGAGATACTAACGAAACAAACGAACTAAAGACAATCGTCAGAGTGCGCGAGATACTAACGAAACAAACGAACTAAAGACAATCGTCAGAGTGCGCGAGATACTAACGAAACAAACGAACTAAAGACAATCGTCAGAGTGCGCGAGATACTAACGAAACAAACGAACTAAAGAGAATCGTCAGAGTGCGCGAGATACTAACGAAACAAACGAACTAAAGACAATCGTCAGAGTGCGCGAGATACTAACGAAACAAACGAACTAAAGACAATCGTCAGAGTGCGCGAGATACTAACGAAACAAACGAACTAAAGAGAATCGTAAGAGTGCGCGAGATACTAACGAAACAAACGAACTGAAGAGAATCGTAAGAGTGCGCGAGATACTAACGAAACAAACGAACTAAAGAGAATCGTAAGAGTGCGCGAGATACTAACGAAACAAACGAACTAAATGAGAATCGTCAGAGTGCGCGAGATACTAACGAAACAAACGAACTAACGACAATTGTCAGAGTGCACGAGATACTAACGAAACAAACGAACTAAAGACAATCGTAAGAGTGCGCGAGATACTAACGAAACAAACGAACTAAAGACAATCGTCAGAGTGCGCGAGATACTAACGAAACAAACGAACTAAAGAGAATCGTAAGAGTGCGCGAGATACTAACGAAACAAACGAACTAAAGAGAATCGTAAGAGTGCGCGAGATACTAACGAAACAAACGAACTAAAGACAATCGTAAGAGTGCGCGAGATACTAACGAAACAAACGAATGGAAAAGAATCCTTGGAGTTCGCGAGATACTAACGAAATATACTTTTTTGTAATCTTTATACTTCTTGTAATGTTAGTTTTAAGATTTCGATATAGGAGATAGATTTCTTTCGTCACATTATCTTTCGGGTGGAAAATTCATCGATACCATTAGGAGAAATTTCTCTTTGGTCACTGCTAGGGCTGAAGTGGTTTTGAGAGAGCGATTCCTTTCGTGCACATTTATGTTCAGGATGTTTGCTGCTATAATACCATTTTGCTATTTGATTGTAGTGGGGATGAACTGCTACTGACAGAGATGATCTTTAATGGAGTTTTCAATGAACTGACAGTTCAACAGTGCGTGGCTTTACTCAGCTGTTTTGTGTTTGAAGAGAAGGTAACTTCCAATTACTTACAATATTGTTAACTGAGTATTATCTTTGCTCATTTTCAGCACACCACTGAGAAGTGTTGTCCCTTTTAATGTATTTTCGCAATTAATTCCTTTGATTTTATTCACCTACCGTAAAACAGAGTGACGAGATTCCCAAACTGAAAGAAGAACTAGCAGGTCCCTTGAGACAAATGCAGGTAAGTTTAACATTAGTGCTATTATAACTTTATTTTGTAGTACAACTTGTACATCGTCTATTAGTCTGCTTGTCAAATAGTCCGTCCGTTTGTCAGTGCGTCACTCAGTCAGTCAATCAGTCAATCACTCAGTCCGTCAGTCAGTCAGTCGGTCAGTCAATCAGTCAGTCAGTCAGTCAATCAGTCAATTTGTCAATCAATCAGTCGGTCAGTCAGCTGGTCGGTCAGTCGGTCGAGCAGTCTGTTAGTCAGTTAGTTGGTTAGCCTGTTAGTTCGTGAGTGTCGGTCAGTTAGCCTGTCTGTCTGCATTTCAATTAATTATTCACCCAGTTTGTTAGACAGTCTGTGAATTAGATAGACAGTCAGATATGTGAGCAGCTTTACCGTTAGTTCAAGCTTTTGTTGCAAATTTCATTCGTGGTTATATCTTTAGGAATCTGCACGCCGTATTGGAAAGGTTTCAGAAGAAGCTAAACTTGAAATAGATGTGGAGACATATGTGGAATCCTTTAAACCTCATATTATGGACGTAGTGTTTGCCTGGGCAAATGGAGCCTCATTCTCTCAGATTTGTAAAATGACTGATGCGTTTGAAGGTAAAAACGACTTTTTTCTTTGCATACGATTGCGTGACTTCCTTATTCAATTAGAGCTGTCACACAACAGAAGATGACGTAGTTATGCAAAGTGAAGTTTGTGCGCACTAATTTGTTTATGTGTTTATCAGGCAGTGTTATTCGTTGTATGCGACGCTTGGAAGAACTCTTGAGACAAATGTGTCAAGCATCCAAAGCCATAGGAAACACAGAGTTGGAAAACAAGTTTGCAGAGGGTAATATATTTTGTATTAAAGATTAATAATGAAACAAATTTTTCTTTCATTACGATTGTACCTTAATCTGGGGGTCTGGTAGAAGTGCAAAATTTTTTTGCTGTGGGAAATTTAGCCCTTAACCCTGATATTGAAAAAAACAAAAACAAAAACAAAATTAATAAGGAAAAAATTAAATTAGTTTATTTTTGAGTTCGTATAATTTACCCCTGTCCTGAAATCCATGTCCTTGAAAAAGTGTATTGGGAACAAATTACTAGGAACAAATAATGTAATAGTGTATTGGAAAAACGCTCTACTGAAGTTTGCTGAAAGTGTTTTTTTTTTAATTTGTTTTCCAAGGAATAATCAAAATCAAGCGGGATATCGTTTTTGCTGCCAGTTTGTACCTCTGAGATGTGAAGAGAGAGTATTTACCTATTTTTCTTTGGATCTGTGCGTGGTTCAGCGTCACTTATGTATGATAGACAGAGAAATCCTAAAATAATTATCTGCCGGAAGGTCAACACGTATAGACTAGAATTCACAGGGACTACCTTTCCCTCCTTGTACTCTTCAACATCGCCAACCTTGTCTACAAAGGTTATTTTTTGATGGACATTGTAGTAATGTGAAAAGGACACTTCCAAGAAGCAAGGAGAAAGAATATCGAATTAATGTTAGTATCTGAGAAACTGCTCACCTACCCCTCCCCTAACCCAACAACAGTCAACTGATAACAAGTTAGAGTTAATCTTGGGTGAAGGGAGGGGTGGGTGTGCGGCATCTCAGTTACTGACTTTGATCCAGAATATCTAGCTTGGATTCGCCATTCTTTCCGCGATAAATTTTGTAAATACTTTATTGTAGAGTTGTGATTAAATTGTGCATTGAAAGTTAAATTTGTTGTCAGAATTGTTGTTTACAACCCTCGCTTGATCCTTTTTTGCCATCGTGAGGATCTTTCCAAGAGACCTTTACTTGATTTTATTCAATTAATCGTCGATGTGGTTGGCATTTTCCTTCCCAATCCCCATTGCTTCTCATAGCCGGCAGAGCCTTGGCACATGAAATCGAGGGATTGCGTAGACACACATGATTTTCCAATCCAAGATTCTAAGACCTCCAGGCTTGTTTACGCTTTATTTAGTTTATACGCAGACATTAACATACCTTCCGACTTCGAGGAGGAGAAGGAGCTGGGAGGGATGAAGGGAGGGAGGGGGGCGTTGAAAGGTGACCTTCCTTTAACGAAAAAAAAACGTGAAGATTTAAGACTTAAGGTACATGAAAATCAACAGCTTCAATTACCCTTAGGAGATTGATTTGTTTCTCGTTTCAAACGGATTACGTTAGAAACCACATACAATTTTTAAAATCCTCTTGGTAAGACACGTCTAAGAAATTAGATATGGAGCCTTGGATTCCTTAAATCGAAAGTGGAGCCCGAAGCGATACTTCAGAATATCAGCCAATACAATGGTATGCATCAGGTAGAACCATATCATATAAAATAACCGCAACGGGTTTATCCAGCGATTTTGAGGTAGGCATATTCTAGTCATTATTTACTGGAAAAGTAAAGGTACTTGAATTTTGCGCCACAAGGTACTAAATCTCTGAAGAAACAACTTGAAGCTTCAGTTAATTCCGATCTCGCAGCTACACATCAAATGTTTGATAATAGAGGCTTTAATTTCTATACGCTTATACTTGCTATGGACAGAGACTTCCTTATGTCTCGCTAAACGTGTTTCCCCGTGGAGTTTCGCGTGTAACGTGACGCGTTTGTTTTATTGCGCAAGAATACTGGGAACTAGTTAAAAATAATCCAACATGGCGGAGTGACTATTGAGAGTAATGTTTAGTATGACCTGCCTATTTGAGACATAACAAAAGGAAAGACGGCAAATTAAACAGTGTTTACCTTACGGTGCATGTTGGCTATTCTTTGACGGAATTTGGAGGAAAAAAGACGTATCTCAGTGGCTTCCAAACCATGGATTGGTGACCATATGTGACATCCATGGCAATTGTGAGAGGTAAGGATTTAACCCCAAAACTACTTGATGGACTTGTTGTCTTGATGAATTACTTCTTCCTGTTAATTAAAGTTACGAAGTAAGTTTGTAATCTGATGGAATTTTGGATAGTGAGTTCTGATATGGTGTAAGCTCAGTTCTCAGTGTTTTGCGGGAAATTCAAATTTCATATATCGAGCACGTGCACATTTTATCGTTTTCAATTATATTGTGCAAGACACTATGAGAGCTGAGTTTGCGGCTGGAAACTAAAATAGTTGAAGCTACTCGAAGATTTTTCTGTTTTCTGAGAAAGGTGTCAAAAAGTACCAAAAAGGTGTTGTTTTAAAAGTACATTTTTTTGGCCGCCGCTTCTTAATTCTGTTTACCGTATTTCTACGGAAAAGCGCTTAGCGCAGTGAAATAAGTGCCCTCTCCCAAAGAAGCACCCACCCCCAAGGCGATGATGTCAAACAAGCACCCCTCTCAAACATGCACCCCCCTCAAATAAGAGCCCCCTCTCCTCCCTCGCTTTCTTAAATAGTAGGAATGTAAGGAAAACTTGTTCCACTGTCACTTTGTTTATGAACTTTTAAGCTTCAACTACAGGGGAATCAGTACAGGTTAATAATTGTTTAATATGTTTCTCCCTCAATTAAGCACCCTCCTTCTAATAAGTGCCCCTCCTTTAAGTGAGAATTTCAAATAAGCATCCGAATGGTATTTCAGAGCTCAAGTTTTGACTATATATGATCCAGTTTCTTAAGTGTGCAATTCAAAGATTTTCTTTGTTTAGAATTTTCATCATCTGTTTGATTTTTATCTTTTTATTGAATTTGTAATAATATTTTGAAACAAAAGAAATTAAAATACATATTGAATAGAGATATTTAAACTTGGAAAATAAGAAAGAAAAGCATATTTCTTATCTTTTATTCATCCCAGTGACATAATTATTTAAATTTTGTGAGTGTGCTTCTAATGAATATTTTATGACATTAAATAATCCGTTGACTTTCTTGAGTGACCAAGAAATAGTTTCTCCTATGGGTATCAATACAATATCAAGCAGACGAGTGATGAGAAGAAAGAAAAATATCAATTAGGGGATTATTAGTTGATCCAGTGCCAAATTCTCCAAACTGACACCATAAGAATTGTTTGGCAGACAGTAAGGAGTATTTGTGATGAGATCTTGGAAGTCAAAGGATTGATAGTGGGCCTATTCATTTATTTAGTATTATTTTAAGGGAATTTCTAGGAATAATGTATAGTTCAAGAGAATATCCAAACCCTTGTGAAAGTAACTGTAAATTCCAGAGAGTTTGGGAGGTCAAAGACACAGGAAAATACTGAGGGCCTTGCATGTTCCCTCTCTACTTTGACCTCTGCTCTTCTTTTTTTCTTTATCCAAGCTTTGGATTATGCACTTCTGAGGTTTTAGGGATATCTTGTTTCATCAAACTGTGAAAAAATGACATAACCTTGGTAGGCTATTAATTTGTTTGAGTCAAGATAATTTATGGAGAAGCAAACCTTAAGTTTTTGGCCTCCAAAGAAATTATTAGTTTTCACACCTCATTAAAGGGTGTTTTGGTACTGTTATGCTGTCTGCCAATGAAAGACAACATTGAAACAGAAACACCTTGATTGAAATTTGCAGAAAAGGTCATCTCCCAGAGAAAATGTATCAGTTGAACTAAGTCAGAAAAATTAATTGGGAGAAGCAAAGAGTAGGGTCAAAAAAAAAAAAAAAAAAGATAAAATTTTGACTGGACTTTTTGACAGTAACCTTATCATAATGAGAAATTGCTTCTGGGTCACTCCTGGCCTTTGTGGCTGGTGGTTTTGTATACTGTTTTAAGAGATAGGTGGCAAAAAATCAAGTGGGAATAATTGCCCAAGTATTGAAAGTTGGCAGCTTCGCATATAATCAGGTGCCATCCTCTTTGATACCTTCAAAGTGAAATAATTTTTGTGTCTGTATTCTGAGAGATGTTAAGCAATGACCAATCACTTTGTAAGTTGCATTGCATTGCATCATGCTTAATGAACATGTACAGTAATAGAGTTATAGACTGTTATGACATTACTAAGTCAGTATACATTGTATCTCTGTGACTTTATACACTAATTGGTTACTTTTAATTCAACTGATAGATTGTGGATAGAGACATGCATCATATGCAAGCAAGACTTGGTGCAATATCAGCTTTGATATGTAGCTGTTAGATATTGCATTACTAATTCCTGTGATCCATGGTCGGTACATGGTCTGTCAATAATCCTCAGTTTGTGGCCTGTGAACAAGTATTCATGGACAGTGGGAAAGGTGGATAGGCCTTGGTTGGTGGCCTGTGGTACATAGTGTGTGAACAAGCTTCAGTTGGCAGCCTGTGAACAAGCCTTGGTTGGTAGCCTGTGGACAAGCCTTGGTTGGTAGCCTGTGGACCAGCCTTGGTTGGTAGCCTGTGGACAAGCCTTGGTTGATAGCCTATGGACAAGCCTTGGTTGGTAGCCTGTGGACAAGTCTTGATCAGTAGCTTGTGGACAAACCTTGGTTGGTAGTCTGTGAACAAGTTCTAATTGGTAACCAGCAGACAAGCCTTGGTTGGTAGCCTGTGGACAAGCCTTGGTTAGTAGCCTGTGAACAAGCCTTGGTTGGTAGCCTATGAACAAGCCTTGGTTGGTAGCCTGTGGATAAGCCTTGTTTGGAAGCCTGCAGAGAAGCCTTGGTTGGTAGCCTGTGGACAAGCCTTGATTGGTAGCCTGCAGACAAGCCTTGGTTAGTAGCCTGTGGACAAGCCCTAGAACAAAGCCCTTGGATAATTTCTTATGAACAATGGGGAATCCTGGATCGTGGATTAGAGTGGTTACTGGATTAGGCTGGATAACAAAGTGGTGAACCAGAGAGTTGACAGCTATAGATACAATGCAACAGGTAGAATTTAAATTAAATATGTCTGCTAGATTCACCTGTCCTTTGAGATCAAACAAAACACACACCTAATTGCAGTCAAGCAAGCTCTTCTACAAATGTGAATTCTCATGCACCCATGCATGTAACTAACATAGCTTATTAATCTTTTAAACCCTAAGAGTGACCTGCATGTAATTTCTCCTTACAGTAATACTACTGGATCATTCATTAAGATCATGAGAATAAAGGAAATGATCACCAACCTTAGAAGTTTTGATTTTTTAACAAATTCTCCTGGTCAGTACCCATTTGTCAGGGTGTTAAGCTTCTCTTCATGGATTGGCAATTTTCCAAGCTTCTTTACCAACCCCTTTCATACTCCAGGATTACTGTAGAGAAATGTATTGAAAGAGGACATACAGTAACTTTTCAGTGAATACAGCACATTGAGCATGGAACCAGAACTTCTTTATCAGAAATCCAGCATGCTAAGCTCTGGGTCACAGAGTACCCTGCATATTGTATTTACCTGATTAAAGACTGTGGTATTTACTAGATATCTAGTGTTCCTGATGCAGCATTTATTCTGGGCTACATTTGCTTTGCATTGGAATTTTACTCAACTCAGTTGGCAAAGAGATGTGCAGTAATGTGATCATTTTGTAGTTTTGGCGCTTCAAAATCACATTTATTTTCCACTCATTTTCATTTAGAAAACCTTTTAGTCAAAACAGAGTTACTGATCTTACACATCAGTTCCTTAAGCTTAAGAATTTGATGAAGATTTTTTTATTTTTGTTTTTGGTTGTTGGATACAAGAGAGATTATGGGCTGGTGAATTAATTTATTGTGCCTCCATGACTATGGGCTGTTGTGTATCCAGTGAATTCTTATGGTCAATTGGCTTCATCTGGTTTAGATCTCTGTTGAAACCTTCTGAAA